AGGATGAATCCTGAGTTCTGCTCAGCCTTCAGGCCCTGTGGAATTATGACCTATCTCTAGTTCATCCATCTTACTACACATTAAAATGAAATCTATTTTTATACACCTTATAAAATGTTATGTATGCCTTTCTTATATTGCCGATTTCATTTTACTAGTAGTTATTGTATGCATGTCTAAATTTTCTCATCATATTGGAAGGCCCATAACTTAATATCTTTGGATTGCTTTGATGGCCTAATATATATTGAGTGGTCAGTAAATAATACAGATTATTAATTATGTCATATATTTTAATATAATCACCTCCAGAAAAAAGAATCTAGAAAGTTTAGTATATAGCTGAGATATTTTAGTATTTGAAAATGAAACTAGCAGTTGCAAATAGGTGAAGTTTAAAATTCTTTCAAAAGTACTTTAATTCTAAAAATTCAAAATTTATGATGGCCAGAAAAGAAAATAATCATAAGAAGAAATTTTAAAGTGGAATCAGCCATATTGTTTCCAAATTCAGATGAGAACTTACTATTAAAAATCTTGCACAGATTGGAAATGACTAATCAACATTAGGGAAATGAAACTTGAAGAGCTGCCCTCATACTGTTCATGGCTAAAAATGTTTTCATGTCAGCATTTAACAGTGTTGTTCCAGTCTGAAAATTTCAATGGTTAGACTGGTGGATTGAAAACAAACGATCTAATTACTACTCTCTGCAGGATGGTCTTTGGTAAATCGCTTGATTTCTGTCAATCTCCATCTTCAGGGAGCAGCAGCCTTAGCTAAGTCTTAAAGCTGATCGCATTTGAGAGGTATGAGAGTGTAGCACCAGATATTCTATAGAAAGACAGAGCAATGTATAATAACAGAATTAAACTATGATTTTTTCCTATGCAGTGATCCCTTCATAAGGTATATAAATATCTAATCACTATGTTGTTTACCTGAAACTAATATGATGTATGTTAACTATAATTGAGAAATACGTTTGAAAAAGATACAAAGTTCCCACAACTATCTTCATATTAAGGAAAAATACTTTTTCAAAGAACAATTGTTTTTATTTCAGTTCAATTATGTAATGTCCATGGGGGAGTATTATGAGATGAAGTGGGAAGAGGCCAGAGCTAGGTTTTAGTATTAGCTTTGCACTCTCAACTAGCTATCAGCTGCCCACCCTCTCTGGGCCTTAGTCTCCTCATAAGTCAAGTGAGGAGGTGGAATAAATAGTCTGTTACATCCTTTTGAGCTCTGAAATTTTGTATCTGTCCCTCGTCCGTATCAGATGCACAGCTATAGCACAATATTCAAGTGTGACTCATCCTGGTGAAAGGTAGAATCTAATCATTTCAATGATATTTAGCAGACCATCTGGGATAAAATATTATTTAGTTGTATTTGATTGAAGGAGCTAACCTAAAATAAAAAATGTTCATTTTTTAAAATTTTAAATATAAAGGAGAACTGATTAGCAAGTAAAAACATAGCACTATAGAGTTATATCATACTATTAATTACAGATCATTGTTAATGTTCCAGAAAAGTTCTGTTTATTAATGAATTAATTTGTTATATTAGGAATGCACTGATATTAAATGATTCAAAAGTTGGATATGTTGCAACTATTTTACATGGTTCTATGGTAATAATTCTTATATCTTGAATTCATAAACACCAGTGAGTGTTGCTACCTCTGTCACAGTTACCTTGGATCCCGAGCCCTTTTTTCATATTACATCACTAGATACACGCTAAGCAGATACTATTGTACACTGATGCTACCAATATTAAACTGGTAGCAAAGCAGTCATGGGGATGCAAAGTACAGCATAGGAAATATAGTCAATAATATTGTAATAACTATGTCTGGTGACAGATGGTTACTAGACTTATTGTAGTAATCACTTTGTAAGGCACATAAATGTTGAATCATTATGTTGTACACCTGAAAGTAATATATTGTATGTCAACTATAGTTAAAAATAAATTTAAAATTAAAAAATTGGTAGCGAAGCTAGAGAATTACAGTTATGAATCCTCTCTCAAATGCTAGTGTTTTTTCCTTAAATCACCTTCATTTGATTCCAAGCCCCTGCTCCCTGTGCTGAGAAGCCATCAGTCTCGATTATCTGCCGCCCCCACCCCCGCCTGAGCGTGCGCACACACACACATACCATCCAGAGCTATGCAGAGGCCCTGTATCTTATCACTCCCAGTTACCACACTTAGTTTTCCCTGAGATGCCTTTTGTTCTAACCTGTGCAGGTCCTCTGGGATCACAAGAGGGTCAGAGAACTCTCTGGTTGCACTGGGAATGCCACGATTGGGGTCCATCCTCCCTCAGTTCATCCATCATCCAGCCAGCTGCTTAAACAGGGGTACATTTTATCCCCATTTTTCACATGAAGCAGTTAAAGCCCAGAGAGTTAAAATGATTTGGGTTATACAGATGATAAGTGAAATTACCAGAATCAACTCTTGGTATCAAATATCAGTTTGACTTTTGAGATAAATTATATCAGGTAATTTCAAAGAAAGAGTTTCATATATGTTTGGAGCATGTGATATACATTTAAATATATGTATAGATGAAACCTAGAGAGGATATTTTGAAACATTCAGATTCATTTGTTTTTGTACATTTGTTAAGCACACATTCGTCCAGCCTTCTTATTTTATTATCAATTTGTACAAATTTGAAAACATGGTCTCATGTCAAGTTAATGACCTGAGAGAAGGGAAAAACTAATGGGCTCCCTTTTCAATTGTAGTGCTGGGTGATTCACTATTATATTTGATGAACGATGTATATTTCAATTTTAAAAATGAAAGTTGATGGCTCCAGTCACCTATTAACCAAGGCATACGGTGGGGTTCACTTGTAGTTTCATAAATCCCCATCCATCTCCCACATTTTGTTTGTTACACTTGACTGGAAATAATGGATTATTTCTTCCTATGGAACCATCCTTGATTGTCAGTACATCTCCAAGGGCATAATCATGATATATTAAAAAATAATCATGTAAATTATAATCATCATCTCACTCACATTTTCCAGAATACTTTTAATGATGAGTATCTTTCCTTTTAAATATTGATTGGAACTTTCCTAGCTTGAGATAAAGTAATCATATGCAAATTATTTTATTTGATATACTGTTAGTTTAAATCCAGAGTTATAACAAGGCTTGGAATTGGGCCATAGCAAGAAAATGATTTACAGTTTTACCTGGGAAAAGTTATTTGTTTAAATTATGCTAAAGGCCTGGCAATTTTACATGTGTGATAAGGTATGGTGGAAGACTTTTACCTACTCAGAGATGCATGAAATAAGTATACAGAGTGGGAAGGGAAATTAATACAAACAATAAGTCTTTAAATATTATTTTAAAGTTACTGTTTAAAATGGTGAAAAGTGTGTGTAGCCATGCCTTTTGTGCTGACAGTGATGGAAGTGCAAGGTTAAGTTATGCTAACACATTCGTGTTAAAATACAGTGCTTGTACATTTTTACCCCATTAACATCGCTTATATTTTACATCCCTCCTCTTCTCCATTTTTATCAGGAGATTTCTTCCACGTTATTCTCCAAATAGTAGACTAACTTTTCTGAGGATTTGCTCAGAGGCTGAGACTCAGCATGGTAGCTGGTAGCAAAAAATCAAAGCCTAATTGTTCCTTGTTTCTGACCACTCACCCTACAATGTATTAGCATTCAGGGCAGAGAAATATTCAAGTCCATTACAGGAATTTCTCATCTTGGACTTTTAAAAAGTGTGTGTTTAAAATTTTTTAACAGTTTGGCTTATAGTGTATGCATTTGTCATAGTATTCAGTATTATTATTGGCATAATTGTTTTTACTTTCACAGCATCAGTGAAGCTTATTGGAAAAAGCACATTAAATCAAGAGCATAACTTTGAGGGGATATGTTGAGGGTGTCTTTACTTCCAAATCAGCCACAATCAACAAAGTTGTTCATTCATGTTTCTTATAATCTTTATAAGATTATAAAGAATAAAATCTTATACTTGTTATAAGATTATAAAGAAAGAAGTTCGGGTTTTTGCCCAGCTGAGGCCTGTTTCCTTTATAGCGTGACCAAATAACGTAGCCATGCAGTAGATTCAGACCCAGTTACTGGTAACTATATTGTGTAACTAGAATGATCCAGCATTTAAACGTGACACTCCATCCATCGTGTCCTGTTTTCCTGGCAAAATTTATACTGGCATGCCTTTCACTCTCAAAATGCCTTGGTTTGGATGAGAAATTATATGCCACCTCACCAATTAGGTAAATATTGGTGATACCATTTTTCTAGATCTTCCTTTTTCTTTCTAAATCCTGGAGAAATGTAAAGGCACTGGAATTTTAAGTGACTTTCCCAAAAATATAGAGCTACTTAGTGGCAAAGCTAGAATTTAAGTGTTTTGATTTAAGCCTTGGGCTTTTATCCAAGTCAGATTTGTTAATTTGTCAGTTTTTCAGGTTAGATTTTTAAAGATTTGTCCTTTGACCATTTGTTTTTAGGTGTATTCTCTGGCTCTTACTTATTCTTGAATATCTTTATGTTTAATATAAGGCATTTAGAGAAACTGAGGTAAAGTTAGCCGCACTAATTGTAGGATGATTACAAATGATGAGAAGCTGTTGGAAATATCATTACCAGCCAGACGTTGGAAAGCACTAAGAAGCTGGCAGCACAACACTGTGGCCAGTTTGACCTTGTGGAGTGAAATCTAAATTTGTCTTGAATTGGCCAGCCTGTACCAGAGATTATCATTACACTGGCCCTCTAACCAATTCTTTTGCACTGATCACTCATAATTGATCCAGATCTCTTGGGTAACAAGTTGAATTCAAGGCAAAACATTACAACTTTTTGCATTTTGCCGTCAGCTCTGAAAATCATTATGTGCTTCTAGAAATTATTGTAGCTGGGGAGTATAAGTTTTGTTCAAGCTAAGTGGTAATTTGCTTTTTCTGTATTGGCTAGATTTTTCTAGATATGACGTTTGGTTCAGGAGGACACACAAGAGCCATTCTGCAGAAAGAGTCAGATATTACTCTGTATGCCTTAGACAGAGACCCGACAGCTTATGCAATAGCTGAACAACTTTCAGAATTGTATCCGTAAGTATTCCTCTTGTATAATTATTTAATTGGAGTGTTGAGTTTTACAGAGCTTCCTTTATCATCTTGGAATTTTTCCTTGTATGATGTCATGTTTCATTCCACTAATTATTCCTTGCCCTTTATTCCCCCAAAGAATTAATGTAAATGATGTTTTTGGTACCACTTAAAATAATGATTTTATGCATTTATTATTTCTGAATTAATAAGAATAAACACAAAAATGACTTTTGGCTGAAGTTTGAAGATATGTTGAAATCCATTCATGAAAAATATTTTGACAAATAACCCCTAGTTTAAACAATACTTTTCAAGAGAATTTTATCACTTACAGTTTCCAAGAATTTAGTGAAGTAATTGTAAGTAATTTAGTAAGTATGTGATAATTCTACAGAATCCCTGAGTTCACATATGTCAACATGATGCAATCATTTTCTCTAAATGCTTTTTGAAATTCATGAGTAAATTTAGAGTTCTCTATTCTTTTTGTCAGAATTAGTGAACTTTCACTATAGAAATTCTTAAAAATAAAAAATATTGTCTTCATGAGTGGTAAAACCATCTTCCTTAAGAGAAAAATTTAGAATCACTGTTATGTCCATTTGGCCATCAGCCTTACAAAACAAAAATATCTTGGAACTAAGATGACTATCTTGAAATACTATGTAAAAGGCTATTTTCAGAAATGGGGAATTGTTTTATTCTGTCATGTTCCAGAGACTGAAATAAAGAAAACTGATGAGAATATCAAAGGTAAGTTCTGACTTGATGTAGACTAGAGTTGTTACTAGTTGTAGCTGCCTAACAAGAAAAAGGTCTCTTTGGTGAAAGAATAAAAGTGTGATCATGGTAAAGCTTCATCACAGACTGAAGGTAGAAAATTGGATTACTATTTTAGAATAGTCTTCTTCAGCCTCTCTCGGGTCTCATACTCTTTGCAAATCTAGCAGTGTGATCTATTCTCCTAGTAAATGTGTAAATAAGTATATATAAAATTGTTTGCCAGAGCACAAATTTTATGGAGTATTTTGGATTATTTTAATTCCAGGTTATTTTCTTCTAAAAAATATATGAGGATGAGATTAATGACATGGTACTTTTTCTTTTTTTAAAAAAACTTTCACTGTCATCCTCAATGTGACTTAGATGTACCTTCTTTAAAAATATCTTGTTGTAGGGCATTCACGTTTGTGAAATATCTTAGATTATGACCTTAACATTCATAGAATGAGTAAAGCTCACCATCATATTTCACTATCATAGATATATTGAATTTTCTTAGTTATTGTTTCTGAAGGCAATGATTCCTAGCCTAATTCAGTTGATTCAAGCTCTGTTATTCTTTCCATAATATTTATCAGTTTTATCAGGTGTAATTCTTTATCTAACAGGAATCTTGAGACTCTGTATTCTCTCTTCAGTTTATAGATGTGGACATTATTTGCTAGACAGATTAAATGACTTACTAAAAGACATGCTTGGCTGAACAGAGATAGAGCAGGCACATGTAGTTTGACCCCCTCCCCCACCTAACAATCTCATTTTATTAATTATACTACCTTGTCTCCAATCTTGTTGAGACTTTTTAAATTCATCAACAAAATAATTCCTTTGCCAAACATAATAAATTAAAGAACAATTAATCAGGAAGAAGGAATGATACAGATAAAAGTTAGAATAAAACAAAAATAAAACAAAAAAAGAATAAAGAAATCCCAACTGATCATTCTTTGAAAACAGCAAATTTTTTTCAGCCTGATTGTTAAAGGAAAAAGAGAGTAAAAACATTTGATTAAAATGGAGAGAGACCAAACATGGACACAAGATAATTTATTCATAATATAACCAATACAACCAATTCTGTAATGTAAAATCTACATGAAATCAATGATGTCTTAACAAAATGTAAAATGTATTAAGGATAATACAACCAATTCTGTAATGTAAAGTCTAGATGAAATCAATGATGTCTTAGCAAAATATAAATTACCAAAATTGACTCAGTAATTATTAAACTTGAATAGGTCATTACCATAAAAATTAGAAAGGCAACTGGGTACATAGAAAAATGACCATGACCAGAAAATTGAGAGGTTATATACACAATCTAAGGGTAAGAAACTTTAAATCAATGTTAGAAATCATAAATATATAAAAGTAAATAATAAAATATCTAACAGTATAAAACTTTAAAAACATATGGCAAAAATAGTATTGCAAAATTTTAAGGAGTTAATTTAGAAAAGAAGTATTTGTAGGTTAGGGGATAGGCAAACGAGTGATAATTTAGGGGGGAGTAAAATAAATGTTTTTTCTGTTACCCTTTTAAGTTCTCAGCTAGGACCCCTGCAACAGAAGACATTAAAAAGAGAAAACATGTTAATTTATTTAATATGAGTTTCATGTGACACGAGAGCCTTCATAAGGGAATGAAGCCTGGATGACATGTTTAAACCTCAGCATTTTTATATTAGGTTTGATGAAGAGTGGAAAGTCATAGAAAATTGTGGTAGGACAAAAGGTGTGAGCTAAGTGCAGTAGTAAATGGGGGGAAACACAGCAAGCCAAACCAGTTCAGATTTCTTCCCATCCCTTCATCTTCACAGATGAGGAGACTCCTTTGCTCTGGGTAGAGGGAGGGTATCTCTCACCTGAGGGTCAGTGACCTATTTCAGGGAAAGGTCAGAAATTCTTCCTGCATGTGCTGTTTCTCAAATTCCTTTAGTTTAATATATTCAATATGCCAAGGTTCCATACTTTGAGGTAGTGTGCTCTGAATCCCATCAATATTTACCATATAAGAATTATTTCGGCCGTGGCTCAGTGGATTGAGCGTGGGCTGCAAACCAAAGCATCTCAGGTTCGATTCCCAGTCAGGACACATGCCTGGGTTGCAGGCCACAGCCCCCAGCAACTGTACATTGATGTTTCTCTCTCTCTCTCTTTCTCCCTCCCTTCCCTCTCTAAAAATAAATAAATAAAATCTTTTTAAAAATAAAGTAAGCCCTTTAAAAAAAGAATTATTGATAAGACAACAAAACTCAGTTTGAAAAATGGGCAAAGAATATATACGGGTCATTCACAGAAGATTAGGTATAAAATGATTATTCACTTCAGTAACAGTGATGAGGGAAATGAAATAAAAAATAATGGTAAAAATACACTTCTCAGACTGGATGGACATAATTTTGAAAGTGAGGATATGGGGTAGGGACATTTAGCCATTTTTTAAAGGACCTCTTTTAAAATTAAAAACAAAACACATAACCTGCTTAGAATTTATTCTATCTAAATAAAAAAAAAATCAATATCTAAAGAAACACATCCTTAGACTTACTGCAGACGTTGTGTGTGCATTGTTTGTAAATATAATCATGGGGAAGTTGAGAAAGAAGGAATTAGTGGTGGGACGAGTGTGCCAAAAGGGAAAAGAATGGTTAAAAAAAAACAAACCCAGACAGTGTATGATGATATCTTTGATATGTATGTAAAGTAGAAAATGCCAAGCAATGCTATATATTATTTATGAATACCTACATATGTAGTTATGGTGTAAAAATATGCATGAGAAAGAAAAACACAACTTTGTGCCAGGGATAATTTCTGGGAATAATGGATGGATAGATGGTTGATTGTTTGGAAGGATGGAGAGATTAGATTGATTGTCTTCTTAAAAATAAATAGGTAATTACAACTTATAGCAAAGTGTGCAATAAAATGAATATTTTGTCATTTCAATGTTAACATCCTTGAGGAAATATAGTAATTTCTTTCTTCCATTTATTTGTTTTGCTGTTGTCAAAGAGGAGCTTATTCTTCTGAAAAATTACACATTCTCTACTCTGTCAAACTAAGTCAAAAATAAAAACTAATGTTTTTGCAGAAAACTAAGCAATTCATACGAAGGCTGAATTTTAGACTAACACATTTCAGCTCTTTCAGAAAATATGACATGTCAGATCACCTGTTGTTTAAAAACAGAAACATTTCCCCATCACCTCTGAAGACTGTACAAGAAGAAACACGTTTAAATTGGAGCAGTGGGGTGTTGGTTGACTTTTACCACTGTGGAAGATGGACGTTGGAATACAATTTTTTAAAAACAATTTTTTCTCTAAATTGAGAAATAATATGTGCTCCATAGGTTGAGTTTAGAGAATATAGCCACATATAAGAAAAATAAAGTCATAATTGATTCTATCATTTAACTGTGATTTTAAACAGATTATAAAAATATAGTAAGCTATTATTTTCAATTATTAATAAATGTAGATGTGCTTATTTGGGTAAATGTATAGTATATAGAAAAATATAAAGAAAAAATTGAACTCATAATTCTATCACCTTAATCAGTAGCAATGATTTTGCATATTTCATCTTATCTTTTTAATTTTCAATATTTCATTATATTTTATGTACTATTTCATATTGAACTTTTTGGCTATTTTTACTTTTTATATTTTAAAATATTAAAATATCTTAGCCAATTTTAAGAAACCATTTTGATCAATTGAGTTAATTTAGGAAGAATTGACATTTTCATTCTGCATCCCAATCCAAAAGCATGTGTATCTTTTAATTTATCACAATATTTTGTGTTTCTTATTAATATTTTTAAGTTAAAATAGTAAAATACAGAAAAGTATTAAAATTAAAATAATTCATAACCACCCACCAGTATTGAGTTTGGTATATATTTTTTTCTAATCATTTTGGTTATATGTGTATATGCAGTCATATATACATACATATATATTTTATGCATACATATATATTTTCTAAAAGTAAATTGTACCTATACAATATAAGCACATTCATATTCTATTAAATTATGTTTAATTTTATTGGTAGTGGAGTGTTTCCTTAATAAAGTTATTAGAATTCTAATTCTAATACAATCTTATCTGTGTTCACGTTACTCTATTTTTAATCTTTCTGTGCTATATTCTTTTAGATGTACTTCCTATGAACAACAAATACCAGATGTACTTTGTGTAAAC